ATTTAATAGGTATAAAAAAAATATTTTTATTATATTTTTATTATATATTTATTATATATTTATTTTATTATATATTTATAATATTCTAATTATATAATATTAATATAATTATTATATAATTATTATATTTAGTAAAAAATAAAGTTTCTGTAAAGTTGGTATAATTCTGAACAAAGTATTAAGAACCTTTGTAATCAAGTTTTCATTTTAGAAAAAACATTATGAATGCTATAAATACTTTTTGCTATATCTGAAGAATCATCAGAAAAATTATTATTAGTAGCTGCTGTTTTGGTATTAAATAATTAAAGTGAGAGTTATTAGATAGTTAAGCATTATTAGATGATAAAGCATTATTGGGTAATAAAGCATTATTTGGTAATGAAGTATTATTAGATGATAAAGCATTATTGGATGATGAAGCATTTTTTGGAGAACTCATTTTCAAAAAAAAAAATTTTAAAAATATTTTATCTTCAACTTTCAATATTTAATGTTAAAAATCTTTTATATTTATATATTTGCAAACTTTTATAAAATTAGAATTTAATGCAATATAACAATAAAGTATGTAAAGTATGACAAATGAAAAAAGTATACTTATCTTATTTTTTTATTATTATATTTTATAACTATATACTGAGATATTTTGTGTATCTGAAATTTTTTGTGCTATTATATTTTTTTTGTATTTTTATAATTATAAAAGAATATATATATTAATATAATATGAATGCTATCAGTAACCCTACATTAATATACAGTTAAACCTCCCTAAATGCACACTGAAGAGACAAGCTCTAATGCCTGCACTTAGGGAGGGTTGCAATTAGAGAACAGCCAATAATCATGCAACCATAGCCACATGATCAGATTGACCAATAACTATAATTTTTATTACTAAAGCATAATCTACATACTTGTATACGTACTGTACATGCAATGTTCTTATTTGAATAACTTGGACTAACATGACACAGTATTTTAAACAAAGATCAGAATTTTTTTTTTTTTTACAGGAAGAATGAAAGACTAAGGCTACGCTACGTTATTACAAAGCTTTCACTAATTCATCTTTATATCATGATTTTTAAGATTCAAAAAGATAGGGGATCAGATCTCGGGTATAAAGTAAGTTTCAATATTTGTTTGTTTGAAAGCTGCCTTTCGTAACTTTCTTATTTCTTTCTGCAGCTTCAATAAGGCTTCATCATACTCAAACTGGGCTGTTTCACTGATGTCCTGCTGCATTATATATTGCTCAATCAGTTCTGTAACGGTTAGTGCTTCCTGGTGAATAATTGAACACATTTCTGTGCTATCATCCTCTTCATCACTTTTATTTTCTGCAGAATTAAGGTTAGTGGTTAGGTTTACAATTTCCTGATCATCAAGTACCTCATGTGTATCTCTTTCCTCAGGGTAATCAATATATTCCTCAAGATTCATTACGTTTTGAAAGTTAAGTGCTTCGATATCTTTATATGAAAATGAGGCAATAAAAATCAAGCAAATTTTTTTAGTAAATTTTTTTTCAAATCTTTAATTAAGGCCAAGCAAATTTAATTAATTGGTTTTCATGACCTGGTCAGTCAAATTTTGGAAACTTTAAAATTTATATGTCTAATAAGCAGGTGGGTTTTTAAAAGGTCTCATAAAAACCAAGACATTAAATTGTATGGCCTAAATTTGATAAAATTTTTATAAAAAAATTTGCCTGATTTCTATTGACTCACCCTCATATAGTTCTTCCATCAAATCATCATCGTTATTATCAATAGTAGGTTCTTCATTGTCTTGAACATTTGGAAGGATTTTTGTATGCCAGAAGCAATTACACACTGTTTTAGATGACACTTCTCTCCATGCTCAGACAATAAACTTTATGGCACCAAGAACATTCAACTTATTATCATTTCCAGCTTCATACTGATCAAGCAGCCATTTGATAAAGTAACTTTTATAGTGGTGTTTAAAGGACATAATAATGCCAGCGTCCAAAGGCTAAATTCGAGATGTAGTGTTGGGAGGAAGATAGTGGATGGTTGTATTGCGAAGGGTTAAATTAGCAGAAGAGTGACTTCGTGCATTATCTATCAGAAGGATTGTTTTGTGACCAGCCATTTTCAAATCAAATTCCTTAAGCCATTTTTGAAACAAAACATTCGTCATCCATGCTTTAGCACTTGCTTCATATTTGACACCAAGCTTGTTGTGATTTACTCCTTTGAAACAGCGTGGGTTGGGGGATTTGCCAATTATAAATGGCTTTATTTTATCAATGCCATTAGCATTGGCACAAAGTGCCACAGTTAATCATTCTAGATCTTTTTTTTTTCCCTTAAGACGAATATTGGCTAGCATGGTATCTGGTTCAAGACTACAAAAAAAAGTGGTAATAAAGATAAGTATCAATCAATATATTATATCATCCAAAATAATGTCCTGGAGTGTTATTTTGGGGTATGCAATTTTTGGAGCTAAGAATTAATTTCAAAGATTTTTAATAAATAAAATTAATTTTTAGCCTTTTGAAAATTGCACATTCCAAAATAATGCCCCAGAGCATTATTTCTGAATGATATGGTAATAAGATTTAATATACTGATAAAATAATCTAGTTTCATCCATATTATATATATCCTTTAGGTTATATTCTTTTAACACCTCATTTAACTGAGGAATAACAACTGCAATAACAGATTCGTCTACGGAAGCATCTTCTTCATGTTTTGTTACCCATCCTAATCTATTCCTTTTTTTAAATTTGAATAGCCAGCCTTGTGAAAATTTGAGATCACTATTAGATATATTCAATATTTGAGCAAAACTTTTTGCTTTTCAATAAGAATTGCATCACTTAATGTTATTCTTCCTTGGTTTTGCAGAACCCACTCAAGTAATGCATTTTCAAGCTCAGAAAATTGTATCATTCTTTGTCTTTTTTTAGCAGAGTTGCTTCCAATATCATCTTTATTTTTTATTAGGCACCCAATGGTAGTTGAATGAACATCAAGATTAAACTGATTTTTTACCTAATCAACAAGTTCATGGGTAATATTAGGATTTTGATTTTTATACGTGATAATCTCTTGTCTTTGTTTATTGGTAAGAGTAGTTTTATTTTTACGTTTATCAGAAGACATACTTCTTTATTGTTGTAATTTACAAGATGAATTTCTATTTAATATAACTTTATTATTTAATAATATAATTTTTGTTAGAACTTAATAGTAAAAATTATAATTGATTTGGATATTATTTACTTGGATAATTCGTAAGATATTTATTAGCGAAATATTCTGAATTTACACTTGATCATGCTTTCAATTTATAGTACATACTACTGTACTAACTAAATTTGACTAATTTTTTTTATTTACCTTTTCATGAAGAATATCAATGTCTATTGAAACTAACAATGCTTAGATGATGCGAGATACAAAAAATATTAGAGACAGCCTAGCATATTACTTGTACAAATTCGCGTATGACCTAAAAAATATTATTTTTCTGTAAATAAAAAAACAGCCCTTCTAAAGCTAGTATGTATGTACGCCATTTGTGTATTTCAATGATTTATTTAACCTGTTCCACTTATTAATCATGCACATAAATATGAATTTATTCGCATTTATATGCATGATTTTAAAAATTATGCATACTAACTATTTCAAGGTATATTCAAGCTGCATCAGAGTTCTGAATTGTTCTTATTCACATTAAATTGAGCTTGGATTAAGAATAAATTCATATTTCAAAGGTTTAAATTGATTTTCACTGATAAAAATGTTTCAAGTAATTGTTATAATGCTATTATTAATATTGAGGCGATGGTTTAGTAATACTACTTTAATCAAGTTGGTTATTGTTATTATTAAGGAATTGTGGTTTAAATCGATAAAGCATTTATTCATTGTTTGAAGTCAGCCAAAGCACGGGAATGTTTATTGCTACAGATTGTTGTTACAAAATGAATGGCTCGCCTTTTCTATTTTTGCAAATAATCTATAATAATCATTATTTTATTATGTTATATATAGCAATATGAATTTACGGAAAACTGGCTTTTAACTAAAAAGTGCTTGTACCATATTCAGAAGAATTAAAAAAATTGATTGAAATTTTGAATTATTCCTATAACATTCTATATTTTGCTATTATTCTATATAGTATATACATATAATTATAATGTCTACTAACTTTTAAAAACAATAATATATTAGCAATATTAATACGTATGCATGCATTTATCGTTATTGTTATGTTGTAATATTACTGCATAAGAAATCAAAATAACAGATTTTAATTGGCTATCGTCCAGTAATAATCATGTGACTGCACTTACGAGGGGAATTCATTTATGCAGGGCCAGTAAAATAGCATGCATTTAGAGAATAGAGAATGTGCATTTATCTATAAGGCCCATTGTAGGGCCAGAGATTTACCATGCATTTAAGGGGGTGCTGCATTTAGGGAGATTGCATTTAGAGAGGTTTGACTGTAATATAAGTGCTGCCAAAAGAAACCAGTAATCTGGGTTTCAATTTAATAGTTACTAGCCATAATTTTTAACAACTTGTTAAAAATTATAGCTAGTAATCATTAAATTGAAACTCAGATTACTGGTTTTTCTTGATAGTACTCATATTGAAAATAAATTTATGCTATTATATAATGCATAATATAAACTAAACTTTTGCATATATTGTTGTATCAAGAATAATATAATGCATATGTTAAGTATTTTGAGTAAACCATTGCATTATACTTTTAATAAAATAAAAATTTAATATATATTGATATATATTAATAAGTTTTGTTTAAAAGTTTTAATTGCTTACTACCTTATTCTAATATTTATAATCAATAGATTTATTTTAGTCATTTCTTTTTATTTTCCAATTGAAATTATTATTATTGCATTTAATTTTTTTTTATTTTTTTTTCCAAAATGCATTGGCAGTATAAGCATTATAATTGTAATTTTACAAAATCTTATGCATTAGCTCAACATATTTCACAAAAATATCTATATATTTTTTTTTTTTTGGTGTTAAGATGAGGCCTTGCTTATATCTTTATTAGTAATTTTAGTTGTACATATTAATATACTATATACTAAGATATACTAAGATTGTAAACTACAAAATAAAAATTATATGCAAGAATTAAAGCTCAGACAGTTTTATCTGTGACCTAAACTGAAAACAACTATATTTTCAAGATTCTACAAATCAAATAGTTAATATTAAACAAGTGAATAATAATATTTAGAATCTTTCAAAATATAATTTTAATTATGAATATTTTACAGATTATAAAATATATCAATATACTATATATAATTATCTAATAATATTTATTATTATTATTATTATTATTTTACTATATTGTTTTAAAATAACATTTCAGGTATAGTTTAAAATTTTGGTCTTAATTAAGCTTAATTCAGACCAAAATTTTGAACTACACTCAGATTGTTATTTCAAGACAATACATAAGAGTAAATTTATAATAGTTGTAAAATGATATATATTAATTATATTTTATATAAAGCAAAAATATCCCAATATTATTTTAATCTGAATTAAGTTTAGATGAGCATTCTTTTATAGAAACAGAATGCTTTAAAACAGATACTATGTTTTTTTTAATAGATTATAAAAAATGATTTTAAAGACTATAAAGATGCATTGTTTGATATTATTAACAAATTGCAGTATCCAGAAACTAAGTCTGATAAAAGTGATCCTAAAGACTATGAAGGAGCTTTATTTGATTATGCTTTTTATAAATTGCATCATCTATCAAGAGTTGAATAACCTAATAATGCCTATCAAAAGTTTATGAAGATAATTAATAAGTATCATCTATCAAATTTAGCTAGTAATGTTTTTATAAATTTTTTTAACAAATTCTCCAATTTGGATATTTTACTACTTCTACTAACAACTAAAGCCAAAAAAAAATTTATTGATAATTTTATTGTTCCTTATATGATATTTAAAAAAGTTATAGTTAAAACATTTAAAAATATTAGGTATATATTTTTCTATCGATCATTAATAAAGACTATCAAGTCTTTATTAATAATTGATAGTATTAACTAGTTACTAGTTCTTCAATATAAAGATAAAATAGAAGTAAAAAGAAATATAGAATATTGAAACAATTTTATGATAATTGATAGTACTGAGAAGAATCACTATTACTTCTTAGGCAATATATATTATTACTTATTTTTTATTCAGATGCTGCAACTCTAGACCATATAGGAAAGTCTTCAAGACATTCTATATTTTTGTCTCTTGGCAACATTCCAAATTATCAAAAAAACAAACCAGAATCTAAGACATTGGTCAGATATTTTCTGATCTTAAAAGCCAAAAATTCTAAAATAAAGCAATCTGATAACTTTTGCCAACTGCAAAGGAAAGTTTTTCAAGAATGTATATCAATTCTGTTTAAGCACATTATTGAAAATGAAAGCTTCATTTTGTTATATATAGAAATATAATCACTTTCGTCTTATGAATATCAACCATTATTGCTAACTTAGCTAAAACATACAAGTTTACCAATTATCTTTCTTTAGAAAACTATGCCCAAAATGCTTGGTATCAAAAGATAAGTTAAATAATATAAATGTAATAAATATAATTTCAAAAACTCCAAATATTATGAGGCAAGCAATATATAGTAGCAATAATTCTAATTATTTAATTCATTTTGAAACAAATGCATTTTGGGGCTTAAGATAAGAAACTTTTAAGTGTTTTATTTATTATAAATTATCAAAATAGCAGATATAGATGTTATTTTGAATTTTATCTAAATTAAGCTTAATTAAGACAAAATTTAAAATAATGTCATGCTTGTTTTTGATAATTTTGTTAATAAAAATATAATTTATAACTAATAAAAATTATAATAACTTTAATATATATAATGTTACCATATCTAATCAAATGCATATTTTGGACCTTAGTCTCTTAAGTATATATTAGATTATACTAAAAAGCTTTTATTTAAACAATGTGATAACGATGAATTACAAATCTTTAAAAGATGATTGATATTGATACCTTGATATAAAGTTTTTAAAATAATAAAGAGCATAAATTTAACATGCATAACAGTTAAAAAATTGCAGAATATAATGAAAATAATCATTTTTGCTCTTGATAACCTATATGAGGATTATAAAAAGCCAGGAATTAGTAATAAACAGTTATGCCAAGTTTATTACAAATTTATTCGAATGTATATTGCCACTTGTGAAGAATCATTTACTTATAATTTATGTAACCAACTTTAAAAATGAATAAATTGTTATCTTTCTTACTAACCTGATTACTTATAATTAAATTCATAGACTTTCATTATAAATTGAACCAAAGAGTTTGTTAAAATTTTTTCAAAATACAATTCAAATAGTTTTCAACTTTCAAAGCTTTACATTTGATATTATTATCTAATATTTGCAATTCATGAATATGGGTTAGTAAATAGTATGACTACTGAGACTTCTGAAACCTTTTATAAAAATTATATAAAAAAGACTCTATCATATATTAAATAAAAATAATTATATGAAACAAATTTTAAAAATAGTAAGTTATAAATATTATAACTAATTGATATCTATTACTAAGCACTAAATAAAAAAAAATAAGATTTCAATTAAATAATACTCATAATATAGAGCACATGCTTTTTATATTATAAAAATTGTTTAATATTTTTTTTAACTAGTAAATAATTGTTATTATTAGGTTCAACAGCAGAAATTAACTAAAAAAAAAGCTTAAAAGAAATATTGCTAAATAAAAAGGTTTGAACAATCTTTGTAAGCACTTAGTTTAAAGAGTCTGAATAATTTTCTTGAGAAAAACAAAAATAATCTGAACTTGCTACAAATTAAAAGCTT